AAATATCTTGCGCTGCACTTTTACAGGAAAAAAATATCTGTCTTATTCCCCTGGGCAGAAAAAAAATTCTTGCACAGACTGAATCTTCCAACCCCCCCCGCCCTCCCCCCCCCTCAAAAATCAAATGGTCCGCCCCTAAATGCAAATGACATCTAAATCTAACATGTTAATAGTTGTACTTTGTCTTTTTACGTATTCTATATTATTTGATTGTTAATTTGCGGCGAAAATTTTTTAAATTTTAATGCGAGGGCACGCTCCCCTCCCCGCGCGATTTTTTAACTATCAGTCACAGCCGGCTACTTTTTTGGTACAACCGCCTACTTCAAATCATTCTGAAACCCCTGTATTATGCGCATTTTACGACATTTCGCAACGAAACTTTGGAATATTACTAATTTTGTGATGCTCTTTCAAGCTGTGATGAAATTTTTGTGTAGATCAAAATTTAGTCTATAATGCAAATGGTCCATTGACTTAGGGGCTGATGACATGGACCAGGCCGGAAATCTTCCTTGAGTTGCAAAGTTAGTTTTGAATCAGGTTTAGGATGATTTTTCATCTATAATAAACCAATTATTTATCACAAATTTATTTTACACGAGTTTTAAAACCACAGTAAGGTCCTAAACAAACGAGTCAGTCCGGTTAACCGGGCCAGCCCAGCACCATGTAATCAGCACCTAATTGACAAATCTAATACAGATACAATCATACAATGGACCTATTACCTCAGTAATTAATAAAATTTTGATCTAGACAAGTCTAGACACAAATTTCACCACAGCTTGAAAGAGCATCACAAAATTAGTAATATTCCGAAGTTTCGTTGCAAAATGTTGTAAAATGCGGATAATATAGTCTTGCGAAATTTGCCGTTTTTCAGTCATTTTGTATTACGCGCGGGAAATTGATACCTTTTTCAGAAAGCGGTGTCAAATTCCCGTGCGTAATACAAAATGACTGAAAAACGGCAAACTTCGCAAGGCTATATTATCCGCATTTTACAACATTTCGCAACGAAACTTCGGAATATTACTAATTTTGTGATGCTCTTTCAAGCTGTGATGAAATTTTTGTAGAGTTGTCTAGATCAAAATTTTGTTCCTTTTTAAATTTTTTACACGAAGCTACTTACAAAATATATAAGTTTTAAAAGATATGGAGTTTTAAAATGGTAACATATTAATGTCTGATGAGAAAGTTGGCAGACTATTTACAGGCACGTTATTTACAATACTTATTACTCATAAATGTGAGCAGTGATTTTATTTCGAAAGGAAGAAAGTGATTTCCTTTCCCTAATTTCTTTTGGAATAGAATTCCAAAGCTTTGCACCGTCATATACATGGAACCAGGGTGACAGTTTGTTTTCTAACATTTATATGAAAATAGATTTGGGAGTGATTTAGGGCCCATTGAGCAAACCAACGAAGTATATATTGCATCAAGTAGAGAAGCAAATTCTGCTCAGATTATTAATCTCATCAAAAAACTTCAGAAGAACGAAAGTTTATGAAATTTGATCATCACAGCAGAAACGTTGAACAAGTGTACATGTAAGCATTTACATTACAATGAAAGAGCAAGGAAGCTATACTAGTAAATAAGGTTAGAAAAGCAAGTTTTTGTTAGCTAGACTTGTTAGCCACATCTTGAATCACGAATTGAACCCCAAATTGCTACGAATCGGAATGGTGTTATTTATAATCTCTATGCTTAGAAATTGATGACATCATTTCCTACGTAAACATAAGCTCTATACGCAGGTTTTTTTTCAGGATTTTCTCTTGGGTCCGTTTTTGCAGAGAAGATTGAGTTTAGCTGAACAGCTGGGGTGGCTGCACCCCCCCCCCCCCCCCC